CACGGTCTCTCCTGCCCGGGCTGGCTTTGAACCGCGATCCTCAGATCTCAGCCTCCTGAGTAGCTAGGATTACAGGCGTGAGCCACCAGCACCCGGCCTGTTGCCATGTTTTCTATCTAGTTAGCATCTTAACGCTAACCAGTTTTCTTTTCTTTTTTTTTTTTTGGTGGGTCATGGGCCTGAGCCCTGTGCCTCAGCTCTTCAGTTTAGGGCTATCTCTCTACCACTTGAGCTACAGCGCCACTTCTGGTTTTCTGGTGGTTTATTGAAAATAAGAGTTTCATGGCCTTTCCTGCCTGGGCTGGCTTTGAATTGCCATCCTCAGAGCTCAGCCTCTTGAGTAGCTAGGATTATAGGCGTGAGCCACCGGCGCCCAGCCAATTTTCATTTCTGAATGCCTTTTGTGTTCATGTTTGAATTGTGCTTGGAATAGTGATTAGAAGTTTATTCCATTAGAACTAATCTAAATAAGCATATTTAAAAAGTGTTTTGAAGTATTAGACATACAAATTAGATAGACATGTGTACCAGCCAGGGCGAGGTAGAGAGCCAGTGATTTGAGAGGAGGGATTAAGTTCTGATCTGTACTTGCCAAATTGAAGGAAGGCCCAGAGGGAACAGGAATTGTTGGAAGTTCTTCAGATGTAGACAGAAAACAATGTCTGGTCCTTCGCGTGTCCTTTGGCACCAGTATCACAATCATCTGTTTTATTTTCATTTTTTTAGGCAAATGAAGATGTGACACAGATTGTAGAGATACTCCATTCTGGGCCTAGTAAATGGAACTGGCTTACCCGGCGTCTGGTGGAGTTTACTTCCTCTGGGAGTGTTCTCCTGTTTGTTACTAAAAAAGCCAATGCTGAAGAGCTAGCCAATAACCTTAAGCAGGAGGGTCATAATCTTGGACTGCTCCATGGAGACATGGATCAAAGTGAGAGAAACAAGGTCATTTCTGATTTTAAGAAGAAAGACATCCCAGTCCTAGTGGCCACAGATGTTGCAGGTAGAGTATGAATTTCCCAATAACCTTAATCTCTGTGTATAAGGATGCATGTCTTGTAATAAGATCTATAGCATCAGAACTGGCTGAGTGCATAGTTCTGCAATTCATGGCAGGTATGGCAGATTATTGTTGGCAAACAATAGAGGTTCCTATTATTAGGTAGCCTAGGATCATGGAATCTATGTTGTGCTGCTTCTTCTAGAGGCTAGCTTATGTGTATGTATAGAGGGAAGCTCACCAAACTCATGCCCTTTGCCTAGGTTAGTTAAGGGAAATGTGGATTCTTTTTAGTTAATTTGATTTTTTTGTCTGTAGGTGAAAGAAAATAATTGGATTGCTTTATATTTTAGCCCGTGGTCTGGACATTCCTTCAATTAAAACTGTCATTAATTATGATGTGGCACGAGACATTGATACCCATACTCATAGAATTGGCCGCACTGGAAGAGCAGGTGAGAAGGGCGTGGCCTATACCTTACTGACCCCCAAGGACAGCAATTTTGCTGGTGACCTCGTCCGGAACTTGGAAGGGGCCAATCAACATGTTTCCAAGGAGCTCCTAGATCTGGCAATGCAGGTAAGGGGCTGAACATACTTCCGATTGTTCCTGATAATATAACAGGCAAGGAAGGGAAATAACAAGCAGGACAAGAAAGTCGGCAGAAGGAAGGGGTAGTTATAAGGTGTCCTGGGATATCTGCACTATCCTCTTGTCATGGATTGCTCTCACTTTTCAAGTGACTTTGTTGAAAAGGTTCTCCTTCCTTGCTTGAGCTTAACCTTAAATTGTGTTTATTGCAGAATGCCTGGTTTCGGAAGTCACGATTCAAAGGAGGGAAAGGCAAAAAGCTGAACATTGGTGGAGGAGGCTTGGGCTATAGGGAACGGCCTGGTCTGGGCTCTGAGAACACAGTAAGTTCAAACTATCTGTGAATCAGAATTCTGGATTTAAAAGCAGCACTTTGGTGGGGGTGCTTTTCAGTAGCAGGTTTTTTTTTTTTTTTTTGTCGGTCGTGGGGCTTGAACTCTGGGCCTGGGCGCTGTCCCTCAGCTCTTCAGCTCAAGGTGAGCGCTCTACCACTTGAGCTACAGCGCCACTTCCGGTTTTCTGGTGTTTTATTGGAGATAGGAGTCTCACGGTCTCTCCTGCCCGGGCTGGCTTTGAACCGCGATCCTCAGATCTCAGCCTCCTGAGTAGCTAGGATTACAGGCGTGAGCCACCAGTGCCCGGCTCAGTAGCAGGTTTTAAATCTAGGGCCTCACATTAGATAAGCAACTACACTACTCATCCAGCCCTTTTGCTCTATTTTTCTAAGGGTCTAGAGAGCGATCCAGCCTCAGAATGCTATCCTCCTACCTACACCTCCCACTTAGCTAGAATTATAAACTTGGGTACCACACCTGTTTGTTGATGGGAATCTCACTATTTGCTTGAGTTTAGTTTGCAACTGCAACCCTCCCAATCCATATTTAAATTTTCCTGATTGTCACCAAGATTTCTCTCTCTCTCTTTCTCTCTCTCTCTTAATATAGGTACTGGAGCTTGAACTTGGAGCCTGGGCACTATTCCTGAACTCTTTTGCTCAAGGCTATTTATTGCTCTACCACTTGAGCCACAGTTCTAGGTTTTTGGGTTTTTTCTGTTTGACTAATTGTAGATTAGATTCTCACAGATTTTCCCTGCTCTGGCTGGCTATGAACCGCGATCCTCAGCTCTCAGCCTCCTGAGTAGCTAGGATTACAGGCGTGAGCCACTGGAGCCCAGCTTCCCACACTTTTCATTAGCATCAATTGTACAAAGAGATTTCATGTGACATGTCCATAGATGCATACAATGTCAGGTTCTTCCCCTCTGTTACTCTCTTTTGTCTCCCCTCCCCCATGACTAATTTTGTTTTAGCCTAACTTCAGCAGATTTAAAATATTTCAATAACTTTTAAAATAAATCAATTTATTAATAACAAATTTGGCAGTATAATATTCAAATTTTAATAATTAGAATTCAGCCAGGCATCAGTGGCTCACTCCTGTAATCCTAGCTACTCAAGAGGTTGAGACCTAAAGATCACAGTTCAAAGCCAGCCCAGGCAGAAGTCCATGAAACTCTTATCTACAATTAACCATCAGAAAACTGGAAGTGGTGCTGTGGCTCAAGTGGTAGCGCATTTGCCTTGAGCTGAAGAGCTCAGGGACAGCGCCCAGGCCCAGAATTCAAGCCCTAGGACCAATTAAAAAATAAACAAAAAATAATTGGAGTTCATAGCTGTATGGTTAAATACAAACTCCCATTTATTTACTTTTCTTAAAAGTAAGCCAGTCTTTAACCCAATAAAAATAAGTGCAGATAGTAAAATTGAAGCGCCTAAAGTCATACACTTGATAAAAGTTGAAGCGGAGACTCTGATCCTTAATGGTCTTGATTCACAGCCTAAGCAGTTACATAATGTGCTGTATTGATTTCCTTTTCATCTTTAATGTAATTTTTACTTAACTGAATCCTTATGTAATAATACATAACAGTGCATTATAATCTGACTGCATTTCTGATTATTAACTTTAATTCTCAGGAATATAATTATATAATTAGTGGGTTTTGAGGTGTTTACATTTTTTGGGGGGGTCTGGTCGTGGGGCCTGAACTCTGGGCCTGGGCACTGTCCCTTAGCTCTTCAGCTCAAGGCTAGCGCTCTACCACTTGAGCCACAGCGTCACTTCGGGCTGCTTCTGCTTCTGTGGTGCTGAGGAATCAAACCCAGGGCCTCATGCATGCAAGGCAAGCACTCTACCACTGAGCTACCTTCCCAGCCCTAGGTGTTTACATTTTAAAGTGACCCATCATTGCTGCACTTTTTTTCACAAAGCATAATTTTCTTAAAAATACCTAGCTCCAGTTGCACTGCAGTTCTTGCCTCAGAGATCCCATCTGTATAGTTGCTTTCCCACCTATTCTTCCATCTTCATTGGTGTGTTTATTTTTTAGGACCGAGGAAATAATGTAATGAGCAATTATGAGGCGTATAAGCCCTCCACAGGAGCCATGGGAGATCGGCTAACAGCAATGAAAGCAGCTTTTCAGGTTTGAAAATTGACATTTCATTTAAAAAGCTATTAACAGTATCCTTGGGCCTTCCTGAGATGGTATTTAGCTTGTAGACTTCATGGTAGATTTAGGACTTTCTTACTGCTTAGAGTTCACATACAAACTTAATAGTAGCTAGCCTAGAGAACAAATATAGAGTTTGAGGAACTCTTGTGCTGATCATGTGTGAGACAGTGGTTCCACAGTCTGGTGTTGTCCCACCTCTAAGGCAATGTAATTGGCATTTTACTTGAGAGCCTTCTTTTGGGGCTGAGATCAGTTTGATTCTGTGACCTCACAAGAACTCTGAGCCTATCTTTTTTTCCATACTACTTTTAACTAGTTGGCATTTTCACTAGGTGGGTCTTAATGCACACATTTTATGGGTCTCTATACTGATGGTTCCAAGATTTTGGGGTTCTTATTAATATAGGAATTCAGAAACCTTAGGAATTCAGAATTTGAGTACTTATTTATATTAGCTTATATTCATTATACAGAGGAGAATTTTATTTTATTTTTGGGTCCGGTTGTGGGACCTGAACTATGGGCCTGGGTGCTGTCCCTCAGCTCTTCAGCTCAAGGCTAGCACTCTACCATTTGAGCCACAGCGCCACTTCCGGCTTTTTTCTTTTTGCTTATGTGGTGCTGAGGAATCGAACCCAGGGCCTCATGCATGCAAGGCAAGTGCTCTACCACTGAGCCACCTTCCCAGCCCCGAGGAGAATTTTATTGTTATATTTCCACATATACGTTTCACAATCTGTTCCACTTATTCTCCTTTTAGCCATTCTTTTTCCCAAGTTTAACATGTTTTTACAAGTTGCAGTCTATTTCAGCTATATTAATTCTCTTTCAAAATTGTTCACCTTTTTTCCCTTCCTCAGCTCCTTAGTAGTCATGTTCTGGGTTCATCTATATTTATACCTAAATGGATCTGTATCTTTTAGGTTTAGATTCCACATGAATTAAAACACACTATTTTGTCATTTGAGCTTGGCTTGTCTCAGTATGGATATCCTCCAATTGCATCCATTTCCATTTTCCATATTTATTCACCTGGGTACCTTGGCTAAGGTTTCCTTTTTAGATTTGAGAACAATAATGTGATACATGGTGTGACATTTAACACCCTAGTAAAGAAAGATTATTATTAATTTTGAAACCACATAGCTTTTTTTTTATGTGTGTCATTGGGCTTGAACTCTGGGGCCTTCACACTGTCTCTGAGCTCTTTGGTTCAAAGCTTGCGCTCTTCCATTTAGAGCCACAGCTCCACTTGTGTTTTTGTGTTTAGTTGGAGATAAGAGTCTCATGGACTTTCCTGCCCAGGCTGGCTTTGAACCAATATCTTCAGATCTTATCTTCCTGAGTAGCTAGGATTACAGGTGTGAGTCACCAGCACCCTGCTGAATGATAGCCTTTAAAGTTCAAATTAGGTTTTGCTGTCATACTCAGCCTGGAGATCAGACGCAGGGCCTTGTTACATGCTAAACAAGCATTCTACTGCTACCTCTAGCCCATTTAACATGTAATATAAAGCCCCCGTCAAACTTTTAAAATATTTTGAGTGTTCAGAACTTTTGGGGGTTTTTAACTTTAAGTAAAAAACTGTAGACCATGAATGTGTCCAACTTTTATACACAGTGGTGCTTTATTCTAGCCTATTAGGTGTAATTCTCAGTACATTGCGTCCATCTCAGTTCTTTACTGCACAAGAACAAAAGGGCTTGTATTGTAAGGCCATCAGGATACTAGTTAAAACAATACCAAGATATCATAGCTAATCTCGAGTTTCTGTATACTTTCACCATTATCAAGCTTATGTATACCCAAGTTTCTTGAACTCAGGTGTTTTTGTTTTGTTTTGAATACTCATTCTTGGTGTCTCTTTTTTAGTCGCAGTACAAGAGTCACTTTGTTGCAGCCAGCTTAAGTAATCAGAAGGCTGGAAGCTCTGCTGCTGGGGCAAGTGGATGGACTAGTGCAGGAAGCTTGAATTCTGTTCCAACTAATTCAGCACAACAGGGTCCCAGCAGTCCTGACAGCCCTGTCACTGGTGTCACAAAAAGCATGCCAGGCTTTAGCAATACTGGGAACATCAGCAGTGCACCAGTGACCTACCCTTCCATCGGAGCCCAAGGAGTTAACAACACAGCTTCAGGGAATAATAGTCGAGAAGGGATTGGGGGTGGCAATGGGAAAAGAGAGAGATATACAGAGAACCGGGCTGGTGGCCGTCATAGCCATGGAGAGAGTGGCAATCGGCATGGTGATAGCCCCCGTCATGGAGATGGTGGTCGCCACGGAGATGGATACCGTTACACAGAAAGCAGCAGCAGCCGGCACACTGACAGCCATCGGCATGGAGAGAACAGGCATGGAGGAAATGCAGGCCGGCATGGTGAGGGCCGGGGAGCAAATGATGGCCGAAACGGAGAAAGCAGGAAAGAAGGTTGTAATCGTGAAAGCAAGGTGGACCCCAAGATGGACAACAGCAAGATAGACAGTAAGACAGATAAGACAGCTGATGGTTTCGCTGTCCCAGAACCACCCAAACGCAAGAAAAGTCGATGGGACAGTTAGAGGGTATGTGCCACAGAGTGAAATCAGTTGTCTTTCATTTTACTTTTAGAAAGATTTTGGTAACTAGGTGTCTCAGGGCTGGGTTGGGGTCTAAGGAATAAGGACCCCTTGCTCCTAATGGAGAATTGGAGTGTAGAGACATTATGCCTTCATCTGAATAACTGTTCAGATGTTTCCTTGGGAAGCTGCTTTATTTAGTCCTGGCATGCAATGAGAGCTGGGAAGCTTCTGCTGGCTCTAGGTGAGTTGTTATAAGGGTTAAGTGGGAAATACTTTGGAAGAGAGAGCCTTATAGGGCACAAGACTCACTCTAGGTTTATAAGTAGCTTATATTTTTTACTAAAATGTCACCTTGTAAACATCTATAAATCCAATTCCTTTTCTTAGTTGTTTGGCCAGGCAGTCCCCATTTTAGGAGTTGGCTTCTGCAAACCCAACCCATTGAACTGAAGGACTATTTGAGAAGCCATTTGGTGCTTTCAGATGTTTGCAGGGAAAGGAGCTACCCAATGCTCAGGTTCCCCAGCCAGGTTTGTATCCAGCCCTGAGACATGTAGGAAGAAGCCACGTTCCACAACCAGGCTTTGAGAATCTCAGAGCCAGTATGATTGAAGGGAAAAGATGATCCTGGAAAGAATTCTAGGATTGCTCCAGGTCTGAGGCATCGTTAATTAAAATGAAAAAGAGAAAACCAACAACAGCTTTTAAAGTGTCTATCTCATTGTATTTTTTTTTAACTTACCCCAATGGTAGTCTTTTGCTGAAATGATTCTGATGATTTTTGTTCTATCTTGTTTATAAAAAGAAATATACAAACTTCGAATTTTGTGACTTTGTGAAGGTTTCTTTTAAGATGTGCATTCCTTTCCTGCTTGCTCTCTAGTAAATGTTTTACTACTGGGACCTGCGGACTGTTTGTTATTTCTGCCTTATAGTAGTGCATAAATTATGATTGGAACAGTGTAGCACATGGTGTGAAACGTGGGGAAGTGTTTGCTTAATTAAACTGTCAGTAAAGACATTTCTTCTAGCTTCGTTTTATTCAGCTAAGGAAGACTTGAGGATTACATGCCCAGCAAGAGGCTACAACAAACTAATTTCCCCTGTTTATCCAGTACCCTGTAGTTCTCCATGGAAAATTGTGGGTCTGTCAATGCAAGACAGTCTCTCAGTGCTGTCGTGGGGAAACCATTCTTCAGGTAGCAGGACATCTTCTTGCCTCTCAAAACCACCGTGGAACTGTAGGTATCCAAGAGCTCCAGTTTTTTCAGCTGTTATGTAATAAGCTAAGGGCAGAGCTGGTACCAGTAACGCCAGTGAACTCTATCTTCCCTTAGTCTTTAGTTGCCAGGGCCCAAATAGCTCAGCTCATTTCCGCTTGTGTTTTTTCTTCTGTTCTTTCCGCTGCTGTGCCCTCTGATCCTTCTTCATCCTGGAGTCTACCACTTTGAAATGACCCCGGACGCCAGCTGGCCGCCGTACTTTACGGCCTACACCTTTTTTGGCTACAACATAGGTGACTTGGCGTTTCTCCTTGCCAAGTCCAGCCTTCTTATAGAGACTAAAATAGAAGAAAGCAGGTTAGAGGCCTCTTTTCTAATGCTCCTTTAAGCTAACCCCATGTGACCTAGTGTGTCTCTCTTTACCTTCGCAGCTGGGCCACCTTTTCTCGTTCTGAGATATCCACTGTATTCACCACAGCTTCTGCCTTCTTCTTGGTTTGTTCAAGCTTCTTCAGCATCTGGAAGGGAACATTAGTTAGGTGACACCTCCTGTCCCTGCATACATTTGCTTTTAACATCAGGAAGCCTGAACCAATCACTTACCCTCCGTTTCTTCCTGGCTTTGGCCTCGGCTACTTTCTTGATAGGGCGTGCATTAATTTCCCGCCAGCGTTTCCGATAATGCTCCACTTCCTTCTTATCAATAGGCAATTGCCTTACCCGGTGCTGCTTCTCTTCCTGCACAAACCACTCTGGAAGTTCTCCCTCTTCTTCATTAAATGCATACCTGGGTAGAGGGAAGAGAACACCGGTGTAAACACTAATCACTACTACCAAGTTTCCTAAGGAAGAAATCACCCACTTAATGATACTTGGGCCCCTTACCGGTTGAAGGAATTATCTATGAGGTCTCTCTTGGCCTTTTTGGAAGAGGCAATCACAGCACCGAGAGCAAGGCCTTCAGCGTCCAAAATCCGATGTTTCACTAGAGAGGAAAGGAAAAAGGCAAAAGCCTGATTCCCAACTCTAAAGTTTCTATTGGTTTTGTTGCACTGCGTACAGAGCTCTCACCTGGGTCCTCGATAGGCACTACTTCAAACCCATCATCATCTGATTTAGGCCCACGGCTACGCTTTTTACCACGCGATTGTTTCCAACTGTGGAAGAAGACAACTATGAATATTCAGCCCTCTCACCTTTCAGACCATACTTTACCTTACTAACCCTGTTTCCTACATAAAACCACTATGGAACTTGCAGAAATCCTGCCTCTTTGGTACTTAAAGCCAAGGCTAAAAACTTAACCAAACCACTGCTTTTCTATCTTCTCTCAGCTGTGCACCCACTTACCTTGCTTCATCCTCACTGCTACTACTGTCACTGTCTGAACTGTCATGTCTGTCTTCCCCTCCAGGGCCAGTGGAAGCTTCTGTGTCCTTAGGAACTTCATCTTGACATGGGGGAGATTTCTTTTTAGTCTTCAAACTAGAAGGTGATACTGATGGTGGCGGTGGTGATGGCTGTTGCTGCCCCTTCCGACGGCTCTTGTACAGCAGCTGGGCCTGACTGATCTCCAGGGCCTCGTCGGCATCATCCTCAATCCCACTGAAGCCATCCTATGATAGAGAAATCAACTGCTCTTCTTCCAAGGAATGCTCATGTCTACTTAGTCTTGCCTCAACCTCCTCTTACCTTTGAGAACCACAGGTTGGCTTGTTCTTCCTGCAGTACTGCCTTTTCTTCCAATGGTACCAGCAATGGATTCTCTTCTCCCTCCTCTTTATCATCTTCTTGAGTAAATTGCACACTGTAGATCCAAAGGAAAGTTAGGAGACCTTTAGGGCTTTTCTCACCATTGCCCATCTCTGGCAGTAACCATGCTAACTGCCTCAGGAGTCATGCTGAGGGTGGCAGCACAGTCTCCTGTCTTACATACTCCTTACCATTTTTGGTTCTTGACACCCTGATGTCCTCTTAATCCTGCCAGCTCCTCTGGATCTAGGTCACTGTCCAAAGAAGAATCGTCGTCGCTCTCAGCATCTGACACGTAGATGTCATCCCTTGGCAGATCAGACAGAAATGTATCTGCAGCACTCATGTCCCCTTGTGTTACTTCCTTTAGTAACTGAAGTGTAACAAAAACATTGTGGATTTAAGGGAAATAATCCTTCTCACCATGTTAGTTATCTTAGTTCATACTCAGCAAATACATCATTCTCCTTTTACAAATAAACCAGCTGCAACCCTCTAGGGTTCTAATCTGTTCCTTTCATTGGTTTAAAAATCTCTCAAAACTGATCTAGCATTACAGATGATACCTGAGCCTCTTACTAAATTCACTCTCAGAAGGCACCTGAGTCACATGAGAATACCATCTAAAGCTCGTTTTGGTTGCTCTGTAACCCTAGCTTTTTTGGAAGAGGCAATCACAGCACCTAGAGCAAGGTCTTCAGGGTCTGTAATCCTAGTTTCTCAGGGGGCTGAGAAGTTAGGATCATGGTTTGAAGCTACCTGGGGTGAAAAGCCCGTAAGACATCTCCAATTAACCACAAAAGTTGGAAGTGGAGCTGTGGTTCAAGTGGTAGAGCACTAGCCTTGAGCAAAAAAGTTCAGGGACAGTGCCCCAGGCCCAGAGTCCAAGCCTGGCAAAAACAAACAAAAAACATCTATACACTGTGAAAAAAGGAGCTCCTGTAACTGCAGGTAACAGAACTGACCCCCTGAATCCCAGAACTTTAACAGTATTTAGCACAACATACCAGAGATTGCAACCAACAATCTGTGTGTATGTGTACATACACTGAGGCTTGAACTCAGGGCCTAGGCACTGTCCTTGAGCTGGCTTTTTTTTTTTTTTTTTTGATTGGTGTGAGGCTTGAACTCTGGGCTTGGGCGCTGTCCCTGCGCTCTTCAGCTCAAGGCGCCACTTCCAGTTTTCTAGTGGTTTATTGGAGATAAGAGTCTCACGGATTTTCCTGCCCGGGCTGGCTTTGAACTGCAATCCTCAGATCTCAGCCTCCTGAGTAGCCAAAATTATAGGCTAAAGAGAAATTGTTGGGATTTTTCCCCCCTAAGCTGCCTTTTGCTCAAGGCTAGCACTGTACCACTTCAGCCACAGCACCACTTCCAGTTTTTTCTGTTTATGTGGTACTGAGGAATTGGACCCAGGGCTTCATGCATGCTAGGCAAGCACTCTACCACTAAGCCACATTCCCAGCCCATGCTATTTAAAAAAAAAAAAAATCAGGATAAGCATGTTTTGTTCAATAAAAACATCAGCCCAGAAGGCAGCTACTAGGACACAGTGAACTCAACAGTGCTTCTACAGAGAGACACCCATACTGGTAACCCAGGTGCCTGGTACTTCTTTTATAAACCAAGCCCTTGGCTAAATCTCTTGGTTAGTCTGTACACTTGACAAATGTTCCTAATTTCATCCTTTTAGGTGTATGTTTCCTTTTTGGCCTTTAAATAACGGGCCTTTTTCCTATATCTCCCTTTGTCTCCAACTTCAGTGACTAAGTCATTTTATAGGCAAACAGCAACCACACCCACTGAGCATTAACCCAATCTCCATCCCACCTCTGGACACCTGAACTCCTCGTTTTCTAAATCCATACCTCACCAACCCACCTGGTGACCTCGGATGGTTCGAAGTGAGAACATGCCAGTCTCTCCCTCATCTGCAATGGAGACCCCAGGCAGATCCATCTTCAGCTCTACACGCTCCCGCTGCTTCCTCTGTTCTCGTAGCAGCTTCTTTTTTTTCCTGAAGGGATAGTTGAGGGAATCTTCAGAGATGGTCACATTTATTCTCTCTGCCTTTCTTCCCCTCCCCCCTCATATTTAGGGGCTTCCTAAGCTGCTCTTCAGCTCCCCTCACCTCTTTAGTTCTGCCACTTCCTGGGCCTTCATCTCTGCCAAGGTCTGGTTCAACTGCTCCTCCTCTTCCTCCTCCTTAGAGAGCTGCCTTGTCTCAGCTGTAGACTCTTCTTCATCACCTTCTTCTTCCTCTCCTGAGCTGAGGCTGAAAAAATAATCCAAGGAGTTTGGTTATTTCCCCAGACATTCCCATAATACCCAGTCACACCTGCACTGGTTTACTTCCCTGCTCACCTGATATCCAGTGCCTTTGCTTGCTCTTTCAGCTTCTTGGCTACATATCGGCGAAGCTTTGTTCTCCAGTTCAGTAGGGACCTACCCAGGAAATATCATTACTGATCTAAACATTTCTGTCTCTATCCTTGAGCCCTCCTGTTTTTAGCCCACTCTTCAAATTTCAGTCACAAACTTTTAGCACAAAAAAATCCTAGTCCCCAGAGATTCAACATCATGGTCTTCAAAGTCTTCCTTTGTGTCCTGGCTTCTACCCCTCCACCACTTCATACCTGAGATCCTTGCGCCCCAGCACTTTAATGTCCTGACAGCAAGCCCGTATGTCCTCAGTGGTAGCTGGATGCTGTGCCAACTCTTCATCATCTATTGAAATCTATTTGAGGAAAAGGAGTCAGGGGAGATTCTTAGGCCCTGTTTCTGGGGCCCCTTATCTCCCTCAAGTCTAGGAACTCACTTCGCTGGCCTTGGAGAGAAAGTCAACAGGGTTGGCAGCTCGCAGGAAGTCAGTGACAGAGGTTCGGTGATAGAGAGTAAGGTCACCCTCAGCATATCCTTCAGCCTTAA